AAGCAATGAGCATGAAACTGAGCAAACTCAGGGAGGCAGTGAAGGACAGGAAGGCCTGGCGCAATATGGTTCATGGGGTCACGAAGAGTCGGACACGACTTAACGACTAAACAACAACAATATTCTACAAACACACAATGGTGGTCTGTTAACTCAGAGTCAGGGTGCAGCGTGAAGCCAGTTGCTACAAACGGAGATCTGCCCCGCCACTCAAAATGAGGGAAACTGAATCCACGGCCAGCGCAAAGTTGAAACTTGGTTTTCAACCTGGCAGCCGGCTGACGTTTCTGGCAGCCCGGGCATTCGCAGGGAGGGGCGAACGGGCCAGGGAGTCAAGTGAAGGTAGAAGCACCAGGGTGGTGTCAGGCCTGCAAGCGCAGGAACTGGAATGCCTAAAGCTGTGCGCCCACTGGGGACAAATAACCAGGATTGCAATGCAAACGCCCCCAAGCAGACGTCGTGTCTTGCTGCAGGCGCTTAATTCATCTGTCTGATGAGTCCCTCTTTATACAACCCTGGCCCTGGAGCAGCCCTGATGAGGTTGTGCGTGTCATAATGCCACTGTGCAAATTTGCATCATTTGTGCAATCACGGTATGACACACCTGATGTCGTCTGACCTCCCCCCAGGTGTGGATATCCATGTACTCTGATGCTTTGCCAGCTGGGGCTCCCCCCTCCTCCCAGTCCCTCGCTTCTCTGGGTGGAGTTAGAGGAATGGCAGGGCCACCTGGTAGAAGCCACAACGTCAAATGACATTGCGAGGGTCACATTGACAGTACAGGTCGTCCTCGCTTAGCGACCACAATAGCAATGCGGTCGCTAAGTGGGAAATCCCATGACTGCAACTGGGCTTTCCAGCTGGAAAGAGACAAAACTGTAGGTAGTCCTCGGTTAATGACCATTCATTCAGCGCATTCCAAGTGCTGAACGAGGGGAACTTATGACAGGTCCTTAGAGTTCTGGTCGTCCCAGCACCCCCACAGTCCCGTAATCACGATCTGGGTGATCACTCACCCTTACAACCAGTTGCAGCATCCCGTGGTCATGTGATCACCATTTGCCACCTTCCCTGCCAGCTTCCCAGAAGCAGAGTCAATGGGGAAGCTG